CAGGTTACAATTCTTTCAGATACCACATTTTTCTTAGGGATTTGCAAATCTTTATAGTCTAGACCTAGAGCAGAGGTTCTCAATGTCACAGGTTACATTCTTTCCCTTGCAGTCCATGGCTGTCTATAGTAATATTTTCATCAATATACATTTTTTACAATAGTTTTAACTGAAACAATTTCTCAGATGGAAAGTGATATGGGAAGTGCTTATAGATAAAAGAAAATTATGTACCAGCCACTGGGACAGAAAATTGTTCATCATGCTGGGTAACGGAATGAGGAATGCTAATATATTACCTTTTTACAGTTAAGGGGCATTCTGGTGTTTCATTTATCTGGAGAAGTACAGGAGTGTACACAGGACATCCTCTACCAATTCCTCCCCCAAATGGAATACCTCCTTAATTCCTTTTTGATGATTCCATCTCCATAGATATGTTAATCCTGTTCTTAGAGCCCTTTTTTTATACTGTTATGCTACATTGTTCTATCTCTCTTTCAGGTGAACTTGAATAAAGAATGTCCATTTTGGGAAGATGACAGCAAGTGTGCTATACGTTACTGCAGTGTGAAGCCTTGTACTGATGTAAGTGTTTTATTATTTCTACATATTTAGTATCAGAGACACAAAGCACAATTCAGTATGATAATGGTTTGGCAGCCCAAAATGTACCATAGTTTAATTTAGTTGAGTTCACTTTATATTATGTTGAAGATTTTTAAAACTCTATGACTACAGAGAGGTGTAAGCAGTATCTGTATGGTAACCCTGCTTTCCCCTTTCCATGACCCTGAGCTTGGGGGACCTCCCACCTTAAGCTGACCCTACAAGATTTCAGTTTGTTTTTAACAAAGTCTGCTTTATCCCAAAGGATTGTATAGACCCACAACTCAATTTTTTATGAATGCTATCTCATATGTAGTGATAAAAAAATAAAAGAAATTATATATATCATGTATGCTCACACACACAATCACACACTCACTCACTCACTCACTCACTCACACTCACTCACTCACTCACTCACTCACTCACTCACACTCACTCACTCACACTCACACTCACTCACTCACACACACACACACACACACACACACACCACACACACACACACACACACACACACACACACACACACACACACACACACACACACACACACACACACACATGTATATATTCTGCATATGTACATACATGGGCATGTGTGTCAATGTATGTGTTTGTGTATATTTAGTTTCTATACATTTGCTTGTTTATTTAATTATTTTTTTATTTGTATTATGCATTTTTAATTGGAATGAAAGTGGCAAGGGGTCCTTAGGAACACCAGAGGATAATGGAAACAGAATCAGAACAAGATATTATTAATGAGAAAGAGGAGAGAGAGAGAACCTTCTCCCCCTTAGATATTGATCAGAAAGTAGACGAAGATAAGTTTGATTTTGTGCTTCTGAAGGCTGGACTGGTTTATTAGAGTATTCCATGTCCTGTTATGTCCTCCCCCACCCATTTTATTTTGTTTTCCTTTTATTTTTTAATTTTGATTTTATTCTCTTTTTTTTTTTCTTCTTCTTTTTTCCATCATATCTTTTTTTTCATTTCATTTCCATTCCCATCATCATATACTGTTACCCAGCTGAACTCATGTCTCACTTTCTTTGTGTGTTAGCAAGAAGACCCGGAAAACGGCTCACAGGGTGAAGAAAGTAATGTAGGGGAATCAGATGCAAGCAATCGTGCCAGTTCAGACAAGAAGGTCAATAATGCCTCTGGTTAAAGTTGTGACTGGTTGGCCCACCTCAGAGACTGATTTATTTTTTTGTTTTTGTGTTTCACGATACATCTCTGCTCCCACACTTTTATTTTAGCAGTGCACTCTGAAGGAATCCTGTTTTCAAAAGACTTCCTTAGCCAGGATTTGTTTTGGAAATCTCTCAGTTTAAGGCGCGGTGTTACTTTGTTGAACTTGATAGTACCTATGAATGTCTGTACTATATTCTAAATCTGTGCATCTCAGTGCTGAAAATTATCTGTTTGGTTCTCGATGAGAGTTCAACAAAGTGATGTGTTTGCGTACTCTTCCTTGCTTCTTTGCTGTGAATTTTTCGCAACAGTGATTTGCTTATAAGGGTTTCCTGCTGATAATACCTTAAGAAAACACTCTGGGAGGGAAGGTGAGTGGATGAGAGTGTGGCTGGGTGGATGAAAGAGTGAATGGGTGAGTGAGAGGTTGAATTAGTGAATGGGTAGGTTAGTGAGTGAATGTGCAGGTAGGTAAGTTAGTGAGTGGGCAGATGGGTGGATGAGTGAGTGTGTGGGTGAATGATTGAATGAGTGGGCAGGTGAGTTCTGGTGGGTAGGTGAGTGATTGGGCAGATGGGTGTGTGAATGTGCATTTGGGTGAGTGGATGGGTAGTCAGTGTGCTGGTGGATGGGTAAGTATGCAGTTGGGTGGGTGAATGAATTCCAGGTGGGTGGGTGGGCGAATATGCAATTGGGTGGGTGTGTGAGTAAATATGTAGGGGATGGGTGAGTGAGTGGGTGGATGGGTGCTAGAGAGAGGGAGCAGATGGATGGGTGAGTGGGTGGGTGAGTGAGTGAGTGAGTGATTGATGAATAGATGGATGTTTGAGTGAGGTGATTGAGCATGTGGTTTGGTGGGTGGGTGGGTAAGTGCAGGTAGGTGGGTGGGTGGATGAATGAATGTACATTTGGGTGGGCGGATGGGTGAGTGAGTAGTGTGCTGGTGGATGGGTAAGTATGTAGATGGGTGGGTGAGTGTCCAGGTAGGTGGATGGGTTGGTGAGTGAATGTCCAGTGTGGGGATGGGTGGGTGAGTGAGGTGAATGAGTGGGTGGTGGGTGGTGTGGGTGGGTGAGTGAATGTGCAGATGAGTGGGTGGAAGGGTAACTGTGCATGTAGGTGGGTAGGTGTGCAGGTAGGTGATGAATGAGTGAGAGGGCATATAGATGGGTGGTGAGGGAGATTAGAGATAGAGAGAGAGAGAGAGAGAGAGAGAGAGAGAGAGAGAGAGAGAGAGAGATTCTTTTTAATCTTGCACCACATAAATGCAGAAATGTAAAACATATAATGCTTGAAGGGTTTGCTTTACAGGTTTCATGAAACATACCATCATGATGAATATGAAATGTACTTTTCCACATGGTTTCATAAATCACTGAGAACACACAGAAATAATTGTCAGGATTTCATTCTATGCCATGTATTTTCATGCTGTATATTGTAAATATTGTGTAACCGTGTGAGGACTGCCAAAAAGATCTTCCTTTTGTAGGATGAAGCAGCATGCATCTCCATACAGTATTACCCCTACTTTAAACCAGATTTTCAGTATTTGTGATTATGTTCTTTCTTAGTTTTTGTCCCCTACTTTCTGTCTCTTTTTCTTATCCTGTCATGTACCCTCTAACATTCATGCTTTTATGATGTTATAGATTTTTTTATAATAAAAAACTATCAGGAGCAGATCCTTTTGCAAAAACAATCCAAGAATAAGAATAACAAGTGCATCTTACTGCGGCAGGTTCCAGAGGGCATAAAGGGAGCTCCCATAGATAGAAGTGAGAAGAAACAGAAGGAAAAGTCCCACATGGTGCCTGGACACTGTGATGGAGAAAATGACCTTGGTTACTTGAATACTACTCTCAGGTGAGGTATATGGCCTAGATTTCTTTATTTCTTGTCTACTATTACTTGCTCTTTGTATTTTATTTTATTTTAGTTAATTTATTAATTTCTTAAATCTTTTATTCATAGTTTATGATGATTATTACCTATTTTTATTAGTAGTCTCAATATCATTGTTGTTATTATTACCATTATTATTATTATTATCATAGGTCTTTGCATATTTGTCATCTGGAGAGGATCTTTTTAGTAAAGGGTCATGTGATATTTTTATAGGCTTTTGAATTATTGATGCTAATTGGAACCTCTACTATTTCAGCAAGGAATCCAAAGTTGGTTTTAAGCGCTGGGCAGCCCACGATGATGCACAGCTGAACTTCTGCAAAATTGATGACGAGAGTTCGGAGGATAGTGAATATGTTGACCTATTGCTGAATCCTGAGCGATACACAGGTTATGCAGGACCTTCAGCACATAGAATATGGAGAACAATTTACCAAGAAAACTGCTTTAAGTAAGTTTGTTACCAACATAATCATTCTGTTATTGATGCCATCTAAACCAAGTAGTTACTCATTTTCTTTCACCCAGACACTTGCTCATATTTTATCTCTTTATTAAATAGATTTTTTGATTTTTTATTTCTAAGTGTTTTTTTTTATATTAAAGCTAATTGTGTATCCACAGGCCATCGAGGGCAATTGGTCGTTACACAGACTTCAGTAGTATTGGGGGTAAGTTGTTGCAATGGTTTGAATTGTGGTTTAGAGTTTGACGAAAAAAAGGTTTTGATACAATATGAATACAGTAAATGTTAATTGTTTGATAAAAGATTATTACAGTTTGTCCCTCTAACATTATAAAAATAATTAGCATATAAAGTTGATTTTCCACGTTTGTTAATTTATAGTTAACCCAATAGTGATGGGTAATCACACTGTCTACTGCTGCTTTCTGTGTTAGATTTTATATCCACATAGATGGCTCCACAAGTGCTCATCTACCATAATCCAGATAGAATGCCTACAGCAGAAGGATGTTTTCCCCATTCCTTGAGTTTTTGGATGTTTTTTTTTTTTTTTTTTTCTTTTTTTTTTTTCCTTTTTTTCTTTTTTTTGTAATTTTATTGATATTGATGTCATTATTGTTGTTAACACTATAATGATTATGATATTGCCAAAAAAGAAAGAAAGAAAAAATTCTAAATTCAAGGGAAAAAGTAAACAGGTGAAATACAGAATGTTAGTAATTGACTCATTGGCAATTAAGTACCTGTGGAGCCATCTCTGTGTAAAGACAACCAATAAACAAAAAGACATAATGGAAATGGCATGTATTTTTGCCATCCCATCACTCTTGGGTTAAAACCCTGATATGAATGCATCATTATTTGTTGAAGACAATGATCATACTAATATGAATGTGCAGCAATCTCATTTCATTATTTGTTTATTCATTCACTAATAAGAGTGTTTTAATTTTATTTACTCTCACAATTTTCATGAAGTTGAGCTGTGCTAATGCCTATCAATGGATCAATATATTGGTTAAATCTGCTGGTCTTACAGTCTCATTTTTTTTAAACATTGTATAGATGATATACGTTGAACCAAGATTCAGTATTAGTGTTTAGAATTTAGGTCTTGTTGCAATGATATACTCAGACTTAAATATTCAAATCTAAATGAAATACATTGACTGATCCCATTTCTCATTTGCATTTCCCTCTCTTTTCCCATCTCTTTTGTAAAAAACAGCCAATGATTTTCTGAAAGGTAAGAGAGCGTCCCGTAGGTGGTGGTGTTTTTCGTTGTTTTTCCTTTACACTCGCTCAGTTGGCAAACAAGGTTCTTGTCGTTATTTTTTGTTGAGAAGAAATGGCTTGGAAGAGAACCGTCAGCAATATTATGTTTTGAGTTTGCAAACCATTGAAGT